GATCTAAGTACAACTAGCAGTTATTTTACAGTGCTAAAGTCTTTCACCTTCTAGAGTTGAATGACCTCCAGCTGTACTTCTTTTGATAAGTTAGCATACCCTTTGGAATACAAATGAAAGTGCAGATTGCAGTTGATTGGTTCTGCCTGAAAGCACTACATTTAAGAGTCTTCTGCGAGTAAAAGTTTATGTCTTTCGTTTGTTTACTAAGTCTCAAAAAATAATTGCCCATATTGGGGAACACAAAATAGAAATAAAATTTTCAAGGGCACACATATGAGATAAACTGTAAAACTTACGAATACTCAGTGATATGCTGAGGCATGTTAAGTGAAAACTAGTATGCTCAGATTAATTCATATTAATTATTATGAGTAGGGAGAGTAAAGGCATGGGAAAAAAAATACAACTACAAATTTTGGGCTGATGACTGTTCATCCCAGCAACAGTGTATCCCAGTTTGTGATATTCAAATAAGAGTTTGACATTTTATTTCTACTGTCCATCCTCAGGGAATATGAATATGTCAGTTATATTTCTGTTATCTTTTAGGAAAGGTAAGTGTAAACATGGTGAGTTACACAGGCTCAATGAATGATTTGAGTTATAGGTGATTTTACCTCAGATGTATAGTCATGCCTATTCCAGAGCCATAGAAACAAGTTCATTTATTTAATTCATTTATTTATTTTTAAAGAATTTACATCTAGGTTTTGTTTTTTTTTTTCAGAACCGGGGATTGAACTCAGGCCCTTGTGTTTGCCAGGCAAGCGCTTATTCTACTGAAGTATCTCCCCAGTCCCAACAGGTTCATTTGTTTCTATCACCCTGAAACAAAAGTTCATTTGTTCAATACCTGTCTTTATAGATTACAAAACCAGAGGGATCCACTTGGATTCCTATGGATATTGCTTACATAGAAAACTTTCGGGCCACAAACTTACAGCTCTAGAATAAACCTTACAAAGAGATCTTGTCTTTGAAGTGTTTTTCTCAGTACAGCTACCTAATTTACATGAAGCACCCTGGAGTCAGTGTCTCTTTGTAGTGTTGTTTGTCAAATGACTCAAGCTCACTTTAAAGCGTATATGAGGTTACTAATCAATCTCCATGCCCTCAGATTATTTGCAATGCTATGCACAAGTTTCCTTTCTATGTTTGTGAAATTTAAATTATATATCCCTTTGATATCTTTATCTTCATTTACTTAAAAGTATTGCAGGCAGAAATAAAGCTACCATGTAATTAATATATAGTAGTCTAGTAAGTTTTAACACTTATCTAAAAATGTGTATAGATATTTGTATCTGTTTGTGTTGGCATATGTAGGTTATTCCTTGAGAAATAGAAACATGATTTTCCTAATAGAGACTATTCTAATCAAACTAAGATACTTTTATTTATCATTCATTGACATGGAGTTTTTGTATGATCATGTTAGAAGTCAGAGTCCTTTGTATAGGAACTCTCCTAGTCTTGGAGGTTCTAAGTGTTATGTTTCATCCCCTTACAGAAAAAGTCTGCTTGTCTTCTGCAATTATGATCCCCCAAGGTATCTTATGTTATTATTTAGGATCTTCTGAAAGAACATGATAAAAATGTCTATCATAAAACTGATTATTTAAGGTATCAGAGAAAATTAGAAAACACACACTAGACTAAGATGATTATAAAGAATAGATACACAGATATGTGCATGGATTTGAGTCAGGGAAAAATGGAAAATGAGCCATAGTAAGATATTTACTTATCAATTTACATAAGTGTACATATATACACCACCCTCTACATTGATGCATACTTCAATTATATAGAAAGTAGAGATAAGATAGAGAGAAGAGAGACAGAGACAGATAATACATTATTGCAGAAAGAGGAGTGGGGGGGGAGAGAGAGACAGAGACAAAGACAGACAGAGACAGACAGAGGGAGATAGAGAGAATTTTTCATGGAGTATTTTTATCTTTTACTTAGTCCAGTGAAAAATATAAAGCAACCCAGTTACCATAATAAAGAGAAGAATAAGTGAATATCCATCCACCCAGGAGGAAAATTTTAAAACTCAATTGATGTTTTAATTTCGTTATTGTGTGAAGACAGATCTTTACTGGAAATCATTATGAGACAAGTTGAAGTAATACAAAAAAATTCACAGGAAGTTAAGATGATCTGAGATCATAAAAGCTGCTGAAACTGTCAAAACTCTCTTTGCTTATGCAAAGTTCCTAATACAAATACTGGAATATGAATGAAAGAGAATTTAGATAAGTGTGTGGTATCCTAAAATTTATTGCAGAGTTACATTGGTCTCAAGAGTAAAAAGTGGTGGGAGTACCAAGGTTCAAAGATTATTAAGTTTTGAAATTACTTTTGCCCATTCTTTCTGAGGCTGTGTTTTCCATAGAGTTCCCAAGTTGCCCACCAATCAACAAATCAAATCCTAATGGCAGTGAGATAGATAGATGACAGATATCAGATAGACAGATAGATAGATAACAACACATCTTTTTTTTATCTATTCCTCAATTGATGGACATTTAGATTATTTTCCAGATTAGCTATTTCAAATTTTGTTACTACAAACACAGAGGCACTTATATCACTGTGGTGTGATGTTTCTAAATTTTGGGGGAAGATACTAAGAAGGGGAATACCTGGATCAAATGGGACCTTTAATAATAGTGTTTTAAGGAATTTCCACATTGATATCTACAGTGGTTGTACTACTTAGCCATAAAGGATAAACTCAAGACTTTTATGAGTGAATGGATACAACTTGAGATCATACTCATATGTAAAGTAAATCAGACCCACATGTGTAAACATTGCATTGTCTTCTTAGTGTGAGAAGCTGAATGAGAAGTGAAGATCCAAAATGTACAATAAATATTATGAGTTTGGAAGAAACTGTTCAAAAGAAAAGACAAACTGATAGGGGAAAGGGAAAAGAAGGAAGAGAAAAGGGAAAGTATATATTTACATAAGATCATTAAGATTATTATACAAAGGGTTTCTCTTAGTTCATTGAGAAGAAAGCTGTGCTAATATTGTCTGAACATTATTTCATGCCTATATCTTATAATTTGAGTATCTACTATGAAGATAACACTGCTCAATCTATCAATTTTTGTTACTCTCCTCTATTAGTCTGATTTGAAACTTTATTTTATCTCTACTTTTCTTCTTCTTAAAATAAAAAAATAAAAGTAAAAGTGTTCAAAATATTTTCAAATTTGCTATGGAATGATGTTATATAATATCAAAATATCTTCGCATTTTATATATAAGGTGATTTTATTATATTGTTTTTGAAATTAATGCAATTTGTGATATTATGTTAAAATTGAATTAAATATAAAATCAAATTTATTTTTCAAAAAAGACAATGTTCTTTCAAATTGTCATGAGCTTTATGACAGTCCAAACCATCATGTAGCTATTTTGGTCCCCACTGTACCATTTACTCAAGACTCAAGAAGGTCCATCCATGTCCTCAGTGTGCACCTCTTTTTTTGACCTGCCCTAGGAATCTCAAAATTGAAACAAAACAAAATATAAAATGGGAGTGAAGAGATAGATGGGTACTCACAGTACTACCAAAAAGCCACTTAATGATACAGACTCTTGTTCCCAGCAGGACCCTCTCACAAGAGAAGACTGTCACAGGGATGGGGGAGGTAAGAGTTGGGATGGAGTAAGGTGATCTAGCTAGTAGAATGCTCAGGGAAGTTCTCCTCTTAACATTTCTCAGTCATACAATATCATGACCGCCGAATACTGTAGCTTCCTTGAAATCAATGCAGTCTGGGAAATGGATATTCATATTATCTTTATTAGTACATTTAAATGTTTAATAAAACATTTTCATTGTACTGGAGAACATGGTAAGTATACACATGTATGTAAATATAAATCCTTTTCTTGTTGTTATTGTTTTGGCAATACCAGGGATCCAACTCTTTACCCTCTTGAGCTTGCCAGGCAGGCACTTATGCCACTGAGCTATCTCCCTGGTGCCCATAAATGCTATTTAAGCACTAATATTGTCATTATCGTTCCTGTCATTCTGATGGAGTAAGTGTAATAGTATTTTTAAAGTATTGAGGGGCAGAGGCAGAATTCAATGTGGGCAAAATGAGAACAGAGCCTGTGTTCTTTTACTGTTATGCTTACTGCTCTCCCATGGACTAACAGGTTGAGCTTGACCCGAAGAAATGTGACAGACATTCCAGGTGCCCTCTTGCAAATTCCAACTAAATCAAGCACATTGTTTTTCCTTGTTATGTAGAGCTCTTTGGGTATTTTATAAATATGGCATCAAAATGCTATGTGTCATAGTATTAAATCAAGTTATTTAGAAGAGATGTTGATTAAAATTTTCTTCATTGAATTCTGCCCTACTCCTAGTTCCACTTTTAGCTCTTTATTGTTTGATCATTTAAATTCTAGTGGGTGATGGAATTTAGTGACTGTAGTAGTATAATAATGAATTGAATCATTTCTCAATAATATACATAGTATATATATAGCATTATTTACTTTTATATTCTTGAGAGTAATTATAATTGTATAGAACAAGAATCTAGTCTACTTTTGAAAATCTTTCCTCTTAATGTCAAAGGTCCTATTCTCATTTCAACCTTCTTTCATACATCATTTACTATAATAATACCTATGACTTCAGCTTGGCCACTTCTAGTCACTTTCATTCAACATTTCCCTTTCATCGTTCCTTGTGCCATTTCCCTTGCATCTACCTGGGAGACACAGATTACATTTGTATATGTTATTGAAGGCTTCTAGTATTCACATGTTCTTCTCAAAGCACAACCTATGTATTCTACTTGAAGGCTATCTGAAAATCAAAAGACGTGATACCATGGTATTATGGAAAACTCAATTTTAGGCATGGGAATCAAACATCTTATAAAGTAACTTATTGGCAGTTGCATGTCCTTTCAATAAATATGCAATGTTTCAAGAGCCTCAATCTCCAGTACCTGTGACTTTCAGCTTTTCTGCCCCAATGGTAATTGCGTCTTCATCTGCAGAAAACAGCACTCTGCCATCTTCACTTGCTCTCACTTCAAACCTTTTACACTGGGCTTCCACCGTGTCAGCTCCTATGGTCAGAGGAAAGGTTTAAAGGTGAGACTAGAGTTCAGGAAATCATTCATATGTAAGTATTTTAAAAGACACATTTAGTCTTGGCTGTAACTTTGAAAGTCACTTTGTAACTTTCCCAATCTTAGCCCATGAACTGTAGTTAATTATACTTTCCTATTGAGACAGTTGCTAAGGACTACCAAACAAGTACTTTATGTTCAATAAATACTTGTGGGGTGAATCATTCATGTTTTCTTTCTGCAATGCAGACAACACTTCCTGTACTGTGGCACCACAGAGTACTTACAAAGCATTACTCAGTTGTGGGTCTTATTTACTTTATATTTCATAAATTTTAATGTTGATATTTGTCTTCCTTTTGTGTCATTGTATTTCAGTTCATCTCACCTTTATTGTTTTTTTTTCTCTGTTTTCTGGACATTTTTAATTGTTTTTCAATTAATTGAAATATATTGAACAAGTCAAATTCAAAATGGAATCAGAAATCTATTTCCAATTTATTGGACAATTTTCCTAATTATTCCATAGACTATCCAGTCCCTATGTTTGGAAAACATACTTGATTCAAAAGTTAGAAAGGATTTATCAAGGAGTGGGCCTCAAAGATATTGAGAAAAGGAATTTGAAACATTGGACAGGCATAAGGATTTGGAATTTCTTCATCAACTGTTCTTTTTAGTTTTGTTTCATTTTTGCCATATGAACCTATATGTTCCCTTCCTATTAAGATTTGGAGCACAATTTCTTAGTCTAAATCAAAGCCTTATATATACTCACCCAGTTAGGGACATAAGCATTCCACAAAGTGTGCATACTTCATTTATCTTTACCTATTACTATTTTCTGTTATGTGTATGATCTTAGGAATTCAAAACAAGGTAATCATTGTATTTAGATACATCCATAAGTGGAGAATTGAGTCTTGTTTCAAGTAGCATGTAGAGCCAGGGAGATAGCTCAGTAGAATAAGTGCTTTTTTTTTGGCAAACAAAAGGACCTGAGTTGAATCCCTGGTACTGCAAAAAACAAACAAAGTAGCAGGAAATAGATACATTTTACCTAGGTAAGTAAATACCAGACTTAAAATACCTCTTTCTCTCCTAGCTTTCCAGCACCATCTCAGTACTTTCCCTATATTAGCCCATGAACTGTAAGAAATTATACCTCTCTAATGAGAGAGTTGCTAAGGACTACTAAACAAGAGAAAAAATCAACTCAAAGCCTTTATGGCACATAATATAATTTCTGTAACAACCAGATGTGTAGTTTCATTATATTATGGTGTTATATAGACAAAATAATTGAAAGTTTCAATTAGAGTTTTATTGACAAGATAAAACTAGTGTCATCCTGGTGTTTTTCAAGAGCAAATTTACCCTATGTTTCAAAGATACTTTATTATTTTCTTCTTTTTAAATGGAGATCTTTCTTTATAGAATTTAACAACAGTGTTGAAGAAACTATTACCATCTTACTGTACACAGTCAGTATATTTGATTTTGTGAATATAATTTGAAAAATTTGTATTCATTTTTCTTTTTTTGTTTTGTTTTCTTTACTCACAATCTAAATCTCCTTTAATGAACGTTTAACTTTTAAATGGTAGTAAGGCAACTAGGAGGTATTTAGTAAGAGCTGCTTGAGGCCAATGTATCAGTAAATGGCTTATGCTGGGTATGAAACCCCAGTCATGTAATGTATCTTCAAGGAATTCAAGAAAACATTAAACCTCAAATAGCTACTAGATATTGTAAATATTTTCAACACAAAATCTTAAAATGCATACTCAACAATTCTTAACCATGTACTCCAAGGCTGACATTGACTAACAAAATATATCAGTGACTTGAGTGACGATAAAAGTGATTTAGATCACTGTGTACAAAAATTTATACTAGCACAGGCATTATATCTACACATGCCTTAGTAAGACTTTCTTGTATAATGATTAATGTCCTTGAAAGTCATTTTCTAACATAAACATGCCATATTGTGTATTTCATAAACTATGAGAAATAAATGATCAGAAATATAAGTACAATGGTGTCTGCCTATGTAAAATGAGTTGAAATCTTAATTAGGTTTAAATGAGCTAAAGCAAATAAACAAACCAGAAAATATTAATATGCAAAGAATAGTTGAAATGCATCTAAGCCAGAAATTATTGCACGCAGAATCATCCAATTGAAAAGTAGACTTAAAAATGAATACTACACACTATACTTTATTTATTGTATTAACATAATTATGGAAGGTCAAATTACAAGTAACTAGTAATGCATTGATAATAAGTAAATATTATAAATCAGAAAATAAATACAGAATTCTGCATTTTAAAAAACCTTTTTCTTTGCTGCAGGTGGAAAACAGTGAATAATGATTAGAAATATTAAGTTTCTGAGAATATTTATGCTTCAGTTGATAAGCCAGCCTTTATGAAGTTGAGTTTATTATATCTTAACAGGACTGCTGCATGGTCACCTCAAAATCCAGCTGCGAGGAGAAACGATAGCACTCAGTTCAACTTTACCTTGACCATGTCACGTAAATGTAGTGGGCAAAGCAAGCTGCCTCAAGAATGTTAAGGCAAGTAGATCATAGAAGTTGGAACTATCCAGATAGTATATTTTTCAGTCATCTTCAAGATCAACTTGCTAACTGAAATCCCAAGATTAAATGCTTCCTTAGGAAAATGTCCAAGGTGGTTATTTAATCAACTTCAATGTCATGCAAAGTATAATTAGGATTTGAATAAGGAAGATAATTGGTGGGAAAACTAGAGAAAAAAATAAGAAAATAATAGGTTTCCTGAAAGTATTGAAATATTCAATATGTATCCAAATACTTTCTCTCAACCTTCTAGTGTCCTGCAGGTATTCTTTCAAACCAAACCAACACAGTGAAAACAACCACGAAGCTCTTTTTAAATTATTATTATTCTCAGAGTCAACTCTTTTGCCTCTTTGGAATATATCTTTGGCTTGTAACAGAAAATGCTTCTTCCCCCACCCACCTGGGGGCAGCTGTTGTTGTTCCATTTTGTTTGCTCCTGCCTCTTGGAAACAGCTGGTCACCATGATGTACAGCTGATCTCTAGGACGCACATTGTATAAGCCAACCCCCAATGACAAGTTATTCTGCCTCTGTACTTCCTACTTGCTTATTCCATACAAGCCATAGACCATCAGAGATGGGAGCCTGACATTCTGGAAATGGCACCAATCAGTGCCCATTAAGATAAATAAATCTCCCTTAAATCCTGAATGCCATTTTTATGTTTCTGCTTGCCATTGCATCTGGTGATTGGACTGAGAAGACCCACCATGCTGACCTCTTTGGTCACTGATCATGGCCCTTGTTGATGGAGCAAGTACCTCTCCAGGTCCCAGGGAGAAAGTGTGCCCTCGAGATTTCTTGAGTCCCCTCGAAGCTCTGGAGGAGCATTCCTACCTCCATGCTCTTGTGGCTGGCTCACAATGGACTCCACAAGGAGAAGGACACAGTCTGTCTGTGAGTCAGTCAGTCAGTCAGTCAGTCAGTCAGTCAGTCAGTCAGTCATTCAGTCAGTCTGTCAGTCTGTCTGTCCGTCTTTCTGTCTTTCCATCTGTCTGTCTGCTGTCTGCCTGCCTGGCTGCTTCTAGTAAGACCTCTGGGGACACTCCCATTAGTCATGATCACTCCTGCTCAGTTGAAGCAGAAGAAGAGCTTGATTTACTCTCTTCAGTTCAGGCCACCTTGAAGAGAATGGGGATTGGAACATTTAAGCTCTGAGTGTCCTGGAGGAAGAGAGGAGAAGTCACATTATGAGGGACAGACAATCAGGCAGCCTCAGGAATTTCCTTGCAGAGAAAAATCCCATGTGGATCAACATGGAGGCTCTGGCATTTGAATCTCCTAAATTTGTCCCTGCAAACACACACACACACACACACACACACACACACACACACACACACCAGTAACTATTTTCTGTTTTGGAATGGAGGAGAAAATAAATTTTTAAACTCTTTAAACTAAGAAATAGTAAATATTGTTTCTGTACTTACATGCACTGTTTTTCATTAAAATGTCATTTTCTTTCTAATTCTGTCTAGTTTTGTGCTTGTTTGTAAGTCTTTACATATAAAATTATTCATTAATTTTTTTTCAGATACATTTGTTAAATAATGTCTCCCTTCTTTTGAGTTCATTTGTACCATCTTTTAAAATTTTATTTATTTATTTATTTAGTACAGGTTTTACTAGACAGCTCCACCTTATAGTGATCCTCTTGTTTTTAGCCTTCCCAGCGCTGGTATTACAGATGTGCATCACCGTGCTCAGACTTGGTCATTGGCTCAGTGCGCCAACCGGGGTTGGGGCTGGCACAGCAGGTGGGGGTGGGGCCAGCACAGCACATAGTGCTGGGACTCTAACACGGTCCTGCGCTTGCCTAAGCAGGTGCTCAGTCCACTGAGTTATCTCAACAGTCCTCTTTTTTTATTTTAAAGATAAAAAACAATAAAATGGAGTTTCAAAATAGGTAGTAGAAGAGTCAAACAATTAATACAGTGCATAATATTGTTGCCCTCATAGTATTTTCACAGAGTACAACACATAGATGTGATATCTTGCCCAATAAATATTATCAGAAATCTATCTTTTCAATAAACTAAGATAAGCTTATTGTATAACTATATACACTAACTGTATAACTAATTATATAACTATTTCATGTATAAGATACACTATTTTTTATTTTTCCTTTTCTTCCTTTCCATTTTCTCCTATCACAGTTTCTCTTTTATTTTAAAGAAATTCTTTGCAATTCACAATATCTACTTCATACTTTGGATCTTATTTACTCAGTTTATCACAGTAGTGAGGCAATATGATGCTTATACATAAGGGTCTGATTTATTTCACTTATGCATACGGATTCGAGTTGCATCCATTTACCTATAAAAGTCTCCAGTTTATTCTTCTTTATAGCTGAGTAGTACTTTGTTATATATTA